ATCATCTGCTGCAGTCTTCTTTCCAGTAACTCTTTAAGGATTAGTAGTATTTGCTGTATTTTTGTGTTATATGTGGTTTTTGGAAGGAGGTTTCTGCCTCACTTCTCACACCGCCATCTTTTTTTCCCCATCTATTTTGCTTTGTTTTTGTACTCCACAAATAAGTAAAATCATTAGGTATTTGTCTTTCCTGCGTGGTTTATTTGAGTATAATGCCCTCTAGATACATCCATGTTGTTGCAAATGGCAGGATTTCTTTTCTATTGCTGAATAATATTCCATTGTGTGTATTTACCACATCTTTTTTATCCATTCATCTACTGATGGACACTCAGGCTGCTTCCATATCTTGGCTATTGTCAATAGTGCAGAAATGCTATATTCCTTTAAATGATTCTCTTTAGGTTGCTACAGCACTGACTTAAATCTGTGAGGCTTCAAATTACATTGTTACAACCAAACTATACCTTAATAATCACTTCATATGTGACCAAACTTAATAACAATTTTACAGAAAAACACCCCAATTCAAATAATTAATTTTAAAATCTGTAACAAAATTGGGAAAGAAACACATTCCTATTCTATATACATAGTTGTGGTTTTTAAGCTGGTTCTTCAAGAACTAGCAAAATTGGGGAACCACCAGGAGCCAGGGTGGACATGGGGTGGGGAAGACAAGAGGGTCAAGGACCTTCCTAATTTCACCTGAACTGGAGTTACTCTTTTATTTGTGCTACATCCTTAAGAATCCACAGCAGATTTCATGTTAAAAAAAGAATTCTAATCCTGAAATGAGTTGGAAAGCCTCAACTCTATACACATATGCACAGTATGGTGCTAACATTCTGACACCTGAAAACCCAGTATTTCCAACATTTAGAGCAATGTTACCTATAAACCCCACCTTCCATTCTTTTTCCACTCCCTGATTTTCTTCCTTTCTCTGCCCAGGCTCCCCATTCACCATCCCTCCTCCCATTCCCAATTCTCTATAGCATGAAACTGCTGTACAGTTTTGTTTTTAGGTTTACCACTGCAATAAGCAAACATGTCAACTGTTCTTCTTAAGTTTTTTTTCTCATGGATGGTTTAGTTCATAAAGATTTTTTTCAGTGATTACTAAGAGCCTTGGCATGTTTCCCATGGCCAAAAATAGAAGGAGAATAACAGTTAGAATCTGCAAATTAAGTTTTCTGCTACAAATCAAAGGAGAAATGTTACACATATTGGCATAAATCTTTAAAATCTCTTAAGGTTTAAAACTCTACATTTAAACTTAAAGTGAAATAGCACAATCTTCAATATCCAGAGAAAAGTAGACAGGCTACAGGTTAGGTTAGGAAGGGCTCTCAAACCTTCTTGCAAAATAATCACATACGCATTTATCAAGCATTTACCAGATGAGGCCACTCAGGGAAAACACAAATTAGAAGTCTGATGTATAGAACCTCCCCTAAATATCTAGGTTGTCCCTTATGTTGGTAGATCTGTGGACTTTCATGGCCTGAGAGACTCTATCCTTCCCCAGATTGGTGAAGTTTTCTGCAATTATTTCCTCAAATGAGAGTTTCTATCCCTTTTTCTCTCTCTTCTTCTTCTGGTACCCCTATAATGCAAATATTGTTCTGTCTGGATTGGTCACACAGTTCTCTTACTATTCTTTCAGTCCTTGAGATCCTTTTTTTCTCTCTGTGCCTCAGCTTCATTTTCCTGTTGCTTAATTTCTATTTCATTTACCATCTCCTCTACTTCATTTAATCTGCTTTGAAATCCCTCCATTGTATGTTTCATTTCAGATATTGAATTTTTTCCGTTTTTATCTTTGTTGAAGTCCTCCCTGAGATCCTGAATATTTTCCTGTAGCTCTGTGAACATGTTTATGATTTGTATTTTGAAATCTTTATCAAAATTGGTGAGTTCAGTTTCACTTAGCCCTCCTTCTGGTGTTTGAGGGGTTTTGGTTTGTACCAGATCCTTTGCCATTTCATATTTCTAATGATTACCATGGAATAATAACTTTAAGTAGGCGGCACCCTCTAGTGCCCAGAAGATCATTCTCTGGAGCTGCCCAGCACTTGAAGCAATGGCAGAAGTCACAGGTGATTGGCCCCAGTGCCTACCAGGAGGAAAGAGGTCTTCCTGATTTCTGGCCACAGTGCCTTCCTCCATTGCCAAGGTCAGTGGGCTGAGCATGCAGGGAGGAGCCTCTGCATTACACCCCTGTAGCTTCTGTAGGCAGAGCTGCCCTTCAGCTAGCCTGGCATGATGGCAGGGATGGCAGGTCTGTGAACCAGTGCTCCCTGGGAAGATGGAGTGGCAGGCTATGTATCACCATGGGTGGCCTCAGCGCTGCATTGCCAGCCATATGGATGGAGCGCCTGAAGCTCTTGAAAGTTCCCAAACTGCCAGGCCGCATGTGCTGGGGCGATTTTGTCCACCTATCCTTTCTCTTGAGCAAGCTCTGTGTAATCCTTGCCCCTTTAGCAGCCCTCTCACTACTGGGAAGTCTTTCAAAGTGCCTGCCTTTGTCCTGGAGCAGTGGGTTGTGGGTACCTGTTCTCCACAAGCAGCTGGAATCTCAAGTTTCTCCAAGTATTCTGCCTGTCTTTGCCTTCCAACCCCACTTATCTCCAGAGCACCAGGTAATGTGGGATTGTGCTCCTGGATCAGATCTCCAAGGCTGGGCATTCAGCAGTCCCAGGCTTATACTCCCTCCCCACTGTGTTTCTCTTCCTCCCACCGGTGAGCTGGGAAGGAGGAAGAGTTTGGGTTCTGCCGGATCACGGCTTTGGTACTTCACCCTTTTCCATGAGGTCTTCTCTTTTCCCCAGATGTAGGCCATCATCTGCTCCAGTCTTCTTTCCAGTAACTCTTTAAGGATTAGTAGTATTTGCTGTATTTTTGTGTTATATGTGGTTTTTTGGAAGGAGGTTTCTGCCTCACTTCTCACACCGCCATCTTTTTTTCCCCATCTATTTTGCTTTGTTTTTGTACTCCACAAATAAGTAAAATCATTAGGTATTTGTCTTTCCTGCGTGGTTTATTTGAGTATAATGCCCTCTAGATACATCCATGTTGTTGCAAATGGCAGGATTTCTTTTCTATTGCTGAATAATATTCCATTGTGTGTATCTACCACATCTTTTTTATCCATTCATCTACTGATGGACACTCAGGCTGCTTCCATATCTTGGCTATTGTCAATAGTGCAGAAATGCTATATTCCTTTAAATGATTCTCTTTAGGTTGCTACAGCACTGACTTAAATCTGTGAGGCTTCAAATTACATTGTTACAACCAAACTATACCTTAATAATCACTTCATATGTGACCAAACTTAATAACAATTTTACAGAAAAACACCCCAATTCAAATAATTAATTTTAAAATCTGTAACAAAATTGGGAAAGAAACCCATTCCTATTCTATATACATAGTTGTGGTTTTTAAGCTGGTTCTTCAAGAACTAGCAAAATTGGGGAACCACCAGGAGCCAGGGTGGACATGGGGTGGGGAAGACAAGAGGGTCAAGGACCTTCCTAATTTCACCTGAACTGGAGTTACTCTTTTATTTGTGCTACATCCTTAAGAATCCACAGCAGATTTCATGTTAAAAAAAGAATTCTAATCCTGAAATGAGTTGGAAAGCCTCAACTCTATACACATATGCACAGTATGGTGCTAACATTCTGACACCTGAAAACCCAGTATTTCCAACATTTAGAGCAATGTTACCTATAAACCCCACCTTCCATTCTTTTTCCACTCCCTGATTTTCTTCCTTTCTCTGCCCAGGCTCCCCATTCACCATCCCTCCTCCCATTCCCAATTCTCTATAGCATGAAACTGCTGTACAGTTTTGTTTTTAGGTTTACCACTGCAATAAGCAAACATGTCAACTGTTCTTCTTAAGTTTTTTTTCTCATGGATGGTTTAGTTCATAAAGATTTTTTTCAGTGATTACTAAGAGCCTTGGCATGTTTCCCATGGCCAAAAATAGAAGGAGAAGAACAGTTAGAATCTGCAAATTAAGTTTTCTGCTACAAATCAAAGGAGAAATGTTATACATATTGGCATAAATCTTTAAAATCTCTTAAGGTTCAAAACTCTACATTTAAACTTAAAGTGAAATAGCACAATCTTCAATATCCAGAGAAAAGTAGACAGGCTACAGGTTAGGTTAGGAAGGGCTCTCAAACCTTCTTGCAAAATAATCACATACGCATTTATCAAGCATTTACCAGATGAGGCCACTCAGGGAAAACACAAATTAGAAGTCTGATGTATAGAACCTCCCCTAAATATCTAGGTAGGAGATATGCTTATCTACAAAAGGTGACCCAAAATTACAAAAAACCGTATCTGACTATCACAAAGAGGAGGGCAAACAAAAAGTGCTGCAAGAGCTCAGATGTGGATTGGTATGGAGAGGATGGTAGGTGAAATCTGCATTGGTAGAAAGCATTCCAGTGAGGAGGTGGAAGGAATAGGCTAAGTAGCTAGTTTTGCCAGAGTGGCTAGGGAAAACCTGACAGAAGCAGAATGAGGCCAGACTGCAGCTCACTTTATCCCAAAACCCTCTGAGGCTGTCAAGCATCACTGAAATAAGGAAATGGCAGAGCAAACAGCCAACCAGCCTGGAACCAGGCAACTTTCATAAGCATGTGATAAACTCATCACCTGTGAAATTACTGTCATATACATAATCTCATTTCATTAACAACCTTGATTGAAATCTGTATTCCCCAACTACTACTTCTCCACACTAGACCAAACTAAGTCCAGGAAATAAAATCAAAACTCAATAAATTCCAACAAAGATTAAGCCCAAGATACTCAACTCTAGAGACTGGTTAGCTTTTTGAAAATGAAGGCCAAGGGGCAAGGAACAGCTTAACCTCTATTGGTTTTTATTTGTACAGATTAAAACTAAACCAAAGAAAGCTATTTTGTAGAATCTGTTGTTCCAAGATTATAAAATCCAACTTTTAACCTACCTTCTCTCTGTGAAGCTCGTGACATGTGCTTCTCAGATGAATTGGAATCACTATGATGACAAGGTGAACCAGAAACTCTAGGACCAGATGAACTTGATGAAGTGGTCATATCTTGAAAATACAAAAAATTCTGACAATAAATCTGGCAAAACTCTGGTAGTGTCTCTAAATTTTTCAATCAATTACTTGAATCATATATACTGTGAAAATCCATCTGAAACACAGCAAGAACATGTCCAATTAAATTGGCATTGCAGCTCTTGGAAGGGTTCTAAGCCCTAGTCCCTTTCTAAAACCTTGTATACCTTTTATGTGACTTGCTTAAGTGAAATACAAATGTAAAACCAAATCAACAAAGGAGCACCTCTGGCTTATTATCTCTATAGTGATTTAATGTTGTTTAATGGTAGAATCAGACCCAAACATCAGGCCCATTACTGAGAATATGAACAGATCCTTCTTAAAGCATACCAAAAACTTGTATTATCACTCTTGAAATTATGTGACTATTATCTTTGAAATGAAGTACTAAGTTTGAAATACAAATCTGTGGAAAAATAAAATAAATATCAGATTCACTGAGTTTTTGATGTATTACTCCAAATAGCAACATCTATTTCATCACATTTTTCTAGGGGCCAACACTTCTGTGGGGATTCTTATTAATCTAATTCCCTTTCATATTAGTAAGTATCAGAAATTACCCTTATAAACAGAAAACCTTCTTGATTTCTGAATCAAAAAATGCCAACTAGACCTTCTAAATCACTATTACTCAACAAGTTGGTTTATTAACATTTAACCTACAAAAAATCCTGAACCTGATTGTACTCGCATATTTATGAAATCCCTTGCATTTGAGTTCATTGTTAAAACCAATTTCTACTTTTAGCAGTGAAATTGGGAAAATGCAGGCCTGTACATTCCCAAAGGGGTCTTCAGAAGTTGACCTGTGCAGGCAGGAGAAAGAATCCAACCATTAGAACCTGATTTTTTTTTTTGGTATCATTAATATACAATTACATGAGCAACATTGTGGTTACTAGACTCCCCCCATTAAGTCCCCACCACATACCTCATTACAGTCACTGTCCATCAGCATAGTAAGATGCTATAGAATCACTACTAGTTTTCTCTGTTATACTGCCTTTCCCATGCCCCCCTGCCCACCTACATTTAGAAGCTGGTTTTTAATCGCAATTCATGAGCAGTATGTGTTCCAAATGCTTAAGTCTCTTTTTTTCTGGGCTCCTGTTCATAAACACAATATTACAAATGGTGGGTATGTTCCTGGATCAGCCCTTATTCCCAAAGGTAGATGAAATACAGTCTCTATCACATAATATAGACAACTGTGGTGTCAAAGTTTTTCTGAGCCCCAATTTCACTTAAGTCTAATGGGATCAGCAAAGGAAGAAAGAATCAGGGCTTTAGCAAGACGATTTTTAGGGGTCATAAGATAAGATGGCACCAGCCAACTATGTCTGGACATTGGGAAGTCTAAGATATGATATAGATTGAAGACAAATTCTTCACCAACAATAACTTAAAAGCTGCCAGGTTCTAGGACTTAAAAAGATTGACAACTACCTTGGGCCATCACTAATTTTTGAGATAGTGATGATTTAGAAGTACTGATGGAAGATTTTCTGGCTAGCAGAGAGCTAAAAGAAAATGTTTTTAGAGTTAGCAACCAATCTTCCTAGCTCATTTTTGAGACAAACTAATGCTATGTCAGAGATACATACAGATCATTCCACTTTTTGGAAAAAAGTTTTTGCTGAGATTTATAAAGAAGGTCTTTTACTTTTCTTCCCTTCCTGTTCTCATTCTCAGAAAGGAAACATACACGGTGTCTGAGATTCTTTGGGAAACTCTTAAGCAAAAAAGAAAAGCTTACCTGAATTTGATGTAGTTCTTCTTGCTCTCAAAATGGGATAGCTGCCTACTTCTAAAGACTTGGTTAAGTCAAGATCATGCAAAATCAAGAGATACCCAGAGGACGTTGAGATCAACATTTTGGAACAATCTGGTGTTAATCTCATTCTCATGAGAAAACGAGTGTGAAAGAACTTCTTATGTGGACACCCATCTTCTGTACACCTATGGAGACATCAAACCAAAAACCTTGAGTCATCATAAATGTAAGGATTCAGAGGTAGTCATTTTTTGCCCTTCAAATTAGCATCTGTAGTAAGTGTATGCTTTGACTTACAGTCTTTCTGCTCACCATTCCTTTAGTCTTTAACTTTCCTTCTTTGGATTATTCTTTTTATTTCTGAAGTATATTTTTTTAAGTGACTTTGTTAACTCCCTCACCTTTTATTGTTCTGCAAATCTTTACTACACTCTTTTTTTATTATAGGTTTAGCTGAGCCTGTAACTTTAGATTGGTAATTATTTCTTCCTGAAATTTGAGGATAATATTCCACTGACTTCTGGCTTCTGCTGTTTCTATTTTTATTTTTTTGGCAGTTTCTTTTTTTAAATTTATTTTGGTATCATTAATGTATAATCACAGTCCCCACCACATATCCCATTACAGTCACTGTCCATCAGCATAGTAAAATGCTATAGAGTCACTACTTGTCTTCTCTGTGCTATACTGCCTAACCCCCATGTTATGTGTGTTAACCATAATGCCACTTATTCCCCTTATCCCTCCCTTCCCACCCATCCTTCCCAGTCCCTTTCCCTTTGGCAACTTATTCCATTCTTGGGTTCTGTGAGTCTACCTCTGTTTTGTTCCTTCAGTTTTTGCTTTGTTCTTAATGCTCCACAGATGAGTGAAATCATTTAGTTCTTATCTTTCTCCACCTGGCTTATTTCACTGAGTATAATATCCTCTACTCCATCCATGTTGTTGCAAATGGTAGGATTTGTTTTCTTCTTATGACTGAATAATATTCTGTGTATATGTACCACATCTTCTTTATCCATTCATCTACTGATGGACACTTAGGTTGCTTCCATTTACTGGCTATTGTAAATAGTGCTGCAATAAACATAGGGGTGCATATGTCTTTTTGAAACTGGGATCCTGCATTCTTAAGGTAAATTTCTAGGAGTAGAATTCCTGGGTAAATGGTATTTCTATTTTTAATTTTTTGAGGAACCTCCATACTGCTTTCCACAGTGGTTGAACTAGTTTCTATTCTCACCAGCAGTGTAGGAGGGTTCCCCTTTCTCCACATCCTCGCCAGCATTTGTTGTTCCTAGTCTTTTGGATATTTGCCATCCTTACTGGTGTGAGGTGATACCTCATTGTGGTTTTAATTTGCATTTCCCTGATAATTGGCAATGTGGAGCATCTTTTCATGTGCCTGATGGCCATCTGAATTTCTTCTTTGGAGTGATGTTGCTATTTTTAAGTCTGCTATCAATCTAATTGCTACTTTGGATAATTTAATCTTTTCTTGCATTTGGCTTATCTTTGTCTTTGGAGTACTGCAGTTTTCACTCTGATATGTGTCAATTTTTATTTCCACTTATCTTTATAGGGATCCATTTTACTTTCTAAATCTTAAGATTCAGTTATTCATATTTTCTAGAAAATCCCTCATCTTTATTCCAATATTGCCTCTTATCTATTTTCTCTGTTCTTTTTGGAGCTCCAAATAGATATATGAACCATTCACAACTGACTCCCTTTTTTCATGACTGCTCCTTCATGTGTTCTTCCTCATTTCCATATATTGCATTCAAAGTAATTTTTCAATATCTATCTTCCAATCTACCTTTTTAAGCTGTGTCTATTCTGCTACTTAAACTGTTCTATGTATTTTAAATGTCCATAGTTATATTTTTTACTTCTTTAAGTGCTATTTGGCTCTTCTGCAAACCTGCCTAGTCTTTTTGATGGATTTTTACTCCTTGCCTATGTTTTTTCTCTTTGCCTTTTTGTTAATTATTAAAATTGTGAACTGTATCCTACCTATAGAAAAACATATAAATAAAACACATGTTGAGTTTAAAGAAAAATGAACACCTGTTGCTTGTCACCCGTGTAAAGACTTTAAAAGTTCCCTCAATTTCTTTTCTCTGTAGCATCTTTCAGTCAATATTCAATGCTTCAAGCATACATTGTTTTTTCTTATCTTCTGAGAATCAGTAGACTTGCTTAAATTTAAAATTTTCCTCTCCCTATATAGTCTTCTTCCAAATTATCTCCATTTGTGTAGGTCTTTAGAAGCTTTTCTCAAATGTCTAATTATCTGTAGATTTCTGCTCATAATTAACAATGGAGAACTAAGAAGCTGAGTGGGAACTCTGAGTGCAGGGGTGACCTTGAGCTTCCTTCTATATAAAATGGCCTATAAAGACATTTTTTGAGGAATCCCTAATGTCAGTTACCTTTGGTTCATTAACTGGAAAAGGCTGAGGATCTCTGAATTCAATATTCAATGTGCAAATGGTCACTCAGTCCCCCTGATTTTGTTAGAGTAACCAATCCTTCAATTGTGTCTGGCATCCTTCAACAAAGATACTCTGTTTTACTCTCTTGTGAGAATAAAAATTGAAATCTCTGCTGAAATGGGAGGTCAATTGCTCAGAGGTATGGATTAAGAGAGGAGATGTGAGTCCTTAAATATCTTTCACTTGAATCCTCCCTTCAGCTACTCCTTCTGCAGAGTACCCAGATTTGCCAGTTCCTATGACTTTTGAGGATTTTGTATAAATTGTGTTAAGTTCCTAACTTTTCCCCACTGCCTGTTTAGGATTGGTTTTCTTGCACTTACTAAGTTTTTAAATAAGTTGTTAAGTCAGTTGCGACTCATGTACCTGCTTTCCAGATTTTATAATTTTATTACCATTAGTTTCCTATTTCCCCATCTTTATGAGTTTAGATCCTTTATTTTTAAACTTGTTTATTGTAGTTTTAGAGTCTTCTCATCAGTAGACTTTACTTAGGTCTTATGATGACTCAAATGAAATTTTACAATTTTCTCCATAAAGGTTACATAAATCCCCTGTTGTAATTTATTCCTGGTACCAACTAAAATTTTTAATTACTAAAAACTACATACTTTAAAATTTTTTAATTAATATATAGGAACACTACTGATTTTTACTATTTGATTTTATATCTGGCAATCTTGGTTAGCTCTAATTCTGATAATCTGTCAGCAGAATTTCTAAGGTTTTATAAATCAGGGGTCAGAAAACTGACCTATAGGCCAAATCTGAACTACTGCCAGTTTTTATGGAAAGTTTGTTGAAACACAGCTGTACCCATTCATGTATTGTCAATTGCTGCTCAGAGACCACATAGGACACAAAGCCTGAAATATTTATTACACAGTCCTTTATAGAAAGTTTGCCAACCTGATACAAATCACAGATATCACCTAGGAATATATTTTTTCATTTTTTCCCTTCCAAGCCTTATATATTAATTTTACCGTACCAACTAGGACCCTGCCTCCCTCCACCCCAAAACAATGGTGAACAGTAGCAGTAATAGCAGGCATGTTCTCTTCTCCTTCCTAATTTTATAGAGAAAACTTCTAAAAAGTTAAAAAATATGCTGTAGGTTTTGGTGTATACTTTAGATGAGTTTCCTTCTATTTCTAGTTAAGTAGTGGTTAGTTTTTTTAACAGTTTTATTGGTGTATACTTTACATACCATAAAAATTCACTCTTTAATTTTTAAATTAATTTTTCATAAATTAAAAAAGTACAATCATCACCATCCAATTTTTATTTATTTATGTATCATTAATATAAAATCACATGAGCAACACTGTGGTTACTAGATTCCTCCCATTATCAAGTCCCCACCACATATCTCATTATAGTCACTGTCCATCAGCATAGTAAGATGCTATAGAGTCACTACTTATCTTCTCTGTGCTATATTGCCTTCCCCATGCCCTCCCCACATTATGTGTGCTAATCGTAATCAACACCATCCAATTTTACAACATTTTCATTAATTTCATCCTTGTTGTAACACATATTAGTACTTAGTTCCTTTTCATTACCAAGTAGTATTCTATTGTATAGATATACTGTAATTGTTTATACATTTACCAGTTGATAAAATATTTGCATTGGTTCCGTTTTTTGGCTATTATGAATAATACTACCATAAGCATTCCTGTACAAGTCTTTGTATGGACATACGTGTTCATTTCTCTTGGGTAGATATCTAGGAGAGGAATTTCTGGTCATAAGATAGCTCTATGTTTAACATTTTAAGAAATTACCAAACTTTTTTTCTAAGGTGGCTGAACCGTTTTACATTCCTACCAGCAGTGTATGAGGTTCTAGTTTCACATTTTTTTTTTAATTATTATTTTTAATTTTGGTATCATTCATCTACAATTACATGAAGAACACTATGTTCACCAGGCTCCCCCCTCACCAAGTACCCTACACACACCCCACCAGTCACTTCCATCAGCATAGCAAGATGCTGTATAATCACCACCTGTCTTCTGTGTTGCACAGCCCTCCCCGTACCCCCCCACAACACTATACATGCTAATCGTAATGCCCCCTTTCTTCCCCCTGCCTTATCCCTCCCTTCCCACCCATCCTCCCCAGTCCCTTTCCCTTTGGTAACTGCCAGTCTATTCTTGGGTTCTGTGATTCCGCTGCTGTTTTGTTCCTTCAGTTTTTCTTTGTTCTTATACTCCCCATGAGTCAGTTTCACCACATTCTTGCCAATACTTGTTATTGTCTTTTTTATTAGAGCCATTGTTGTGGGTGTGAAGTGGTGTCTCATTTTGGTTTTGACTTGCATTTCCTTTTTGACTAATGATGTTGAACATCTTTTCATATGCTTATTAATCATGTGTATATCTTCCTTGGTGAAATGTCTATGCAAATATTTTGCCCATTTGAAATTGCGTTGTGTACATTTATGTGAGTTGCAAGAGGTCTTCATAAATTTAGACACAAAGCCTTTATCAGATGTGATTTACAAATATCTCCCATTTTTATATGCACTTTCTTAATGGTGTCATTTGATATGTAAAGCATTTTAATTTTATTAAGTGCATTTTATCAATTTTTTAATCATTTGTGCATAGATGTTGAATGAAGATATATCCCCATGTTTTTTTCTAAGAGTTACATAGTTTTTGCTCTGTCACTCA